GCCCTGAAGGCCTGGATTCCAGAGTTTGCCCCATGAGAGGCCGACAGTTTGCCGCATCCAGTAGGGAAACCCAGGCTCGCAAGGGCTCAGCTAAGACACTGCCGGTCCTGGCCCAACACCGAGAGACTTCACTTCACTTGGGGTGGGAGGAATGCTGACACCAAGTAGTTGGGAGCAGTGCACTTTCTGTTGTCCCCCCTACTGTCCCCAAAGCACATGTTCTTCACAAAATCCCCTGGGAGCTTGTTGCTGAGGAGCCTGTAGGCTAGGGATGAAGGTGGGAGATGCTGCTACCAAAAACAGGTCCCCTGATCTCTCAGTGGCCTGGAATGCCAAAGGCTGAGAGGCTGAGGCAGGCTGGGCACGGTCACCAAGCAGCAATCAGAATGGATAATGCTGCCAGGGGCTTTGGTCTTGACTCGTTGGGCAAGTGTCCCTATTACTGAAAAAGATGGACAGTCTAGTAAAGCCTAAACTGATCAGTAAAAAACAAAATCTGAGGCAGCCATGGTGGTGCGCACCTGCAATCCCAACTCCTCGGGAGGCTGAGGCAGGAAGATCACAAGTTTGAGTCTAGCTGGGGCAACCTAGCAAGACCGTATCTCAAAATAAAAAGGGCTGGGGCTGTAACTCACTGGTAGTCTTTGCTTGGTGTACATGATTGAGCTTGGACACAAAATACCTCAATGGAGAGTCACGAGTTCTTACCCATCCTCAATAGGCACCAGGGCTGGGAGTGGTTCCTGATAGGCAGGGCTGGGCCTTTCCTGCAGAAAGCCCCTGAGATATACCCATCCACACATTTCACTGTGAGATACTGGTGTCCACCTCAGCTCTTCGCACCAAGCTACCTGCACCATCATCCTAGCTATCCATTGCTGTGTGACATACCACCCCCACGAAGTACCTCCAAATGGTTCACTTAGCTCACAGATCTGCAACTCTGGCAGTGTTCACTGGGGAAGGCTCATCTCTGCCCCACGGGATGGCAGCCGGGGTAGCTCAGCAGATGGGGACTAGAACACTCCTTCCGGTGTAGCTCACTGTCATGGCAGCTGATGGGCTCCTTCCCTGCAGGCCTTGCCATGGCTGCTTTACTCCTCCTGAGTTGGTGGCTCAGTTCCAAGGATGAGCAGCCTGAGATGCCAGGAGGGAGCTGTCTCGCCTTTGTGACCTGAGCTGGGAAGCTACACGGCTCCACCACGGCCACAGCTGGGGGCCCACTGTGCGCCTGGCTCTTGGCCCTCAACTCATCCCAGCTTATCATCTGCTCTGTGAAGATGCGGCTTGGCTTTCCAGCTCTCCCAGAGTGAGTCTGCGCCACAAAGGGCACTGGAGCCACAGGGGAGCCTAGCAGAGGAAGAGGCTGCCCTTGTTTTGCTTGTCTGTGGCACTGGGCAGGGAATTCAGGCCTGCCTGCCCCCCATGCTGTGCTAAGCAAGCACGGTACCACTGAACCACACCCTGGCCCCAGGGGTTTCCCTTTGGAGGGGGCGTTCTCCGCCCTCTGCTGTCTCCCCATGGTGTAACTGTTGCCCCCAACATTCTTTGGTGACCCTCTCAGGATACTTCTACAGCCTCCTCCACTGTGTGGGAGCTCCTGGCCAAGAGCACCCCTTTGTGAGTTGCAGGGCCAGCGGGCAGCCTCTCCCAGGCAGCCCTAGCTAGCCCCCGCTGGCAGCTGGAGTCACCATGGGCAGCTGCAAGCTCCTGCAGCAGCCACAGTCTCCCATAAAGTCCAGCCTGTGCCAGAAAGTTTCCCTGTGCTCACAGCCTCTTCCCTGTGCTCTCTGCCCTAAAAATGGTAGCTGCTATTCTTGGATTCCTCAGAGTACTCTACCTTTTAATAGTTAAACATCTTTTTCTAGTTAACAACTCTTTATATCATATTTTCCTGTTCAGATGACCAGCGCAGTTTCCGTCTCCGAATTGGAACCAGATGACAGAAGTATCATCCCTGGAGTAGTCCTGGGAGACAGATTGTCCAGGACAGAATTTGGAGATCATTCTGCTCGTGACCTTGGGCTTGAATGCGTTGCTGAGCTTCTTGCCCACAGAAAATGGATGTTCCTGCCCTGCAGGGCATGTTCCCATCATCATGAAGGGAGCCAGTCACGATAAAATGCAACCTGAAGCTTGTGCCCTGGAGCTCAAATGACAATGGGGATGACAGGACTGTGGGGTGGGGACCCCTCAGTGCACTGGGGCCTGCACCAAGTCAAAGGGTCAGTTGGGCTCCTTGACCCTCAGCTTGGAGTAGCAGAGAATATCCACACTCCCGCAAGGCCCCCTGAATTGCCCAGACTGGCCTTGAGTTTGTGATCCTCCTGCGTCAGCTTCTCAGAATGCTAGAATTACAGACATGTGCCACTGTGCCCAGTGAGGATCTCTTATTATACCTATACAGCCCATATTGCTGAAGATCAACACCAAAGCCAGGTGCACACAGGTGATCACAATGCCAGCTGAACTCTAACCCTTGCCAGCCTCCTCACTTGAAAGTTAGGGCCTTAAAAAAAGACCAGAACCCTGAACTCTGGAGACTAAGACCTTGAACCTTCAGGTCATTCAGAGCCTCTCCTGCTGGCAAGAGTGGCAGTGGCCAAGAGGATGGCACCCTGCATTTAGGAACCCTCTCTGAGCCACCTGCGGCCAGACACCTCCAGGCCAGATCCCCCAAGGTTCCTTACTCCTTGGTGGCCTCTACCACCACCTCCTCTGTGGCAAGATCAGTGGGGGGTGTCAATCTGGAGGCTGGGTACGGGGGTGACACAGCAGGAAACAGCTCATGGCAGAGACAGGGTTTTTTTTCTGTAAAGGACCAAAGACGACACATTTTAGACTCTGTAGGACACCAAAGGCCTCTGTCCACCTTATGATCCTCCAACATTTTCCTGTTCTTTTTCAGTATTGTTATTGTGTGTGTGTGTGTGTGTGTATGTGTGTGTTTCACAACTCTTTAAAAGTATAAAAACCATTCTTAGCTCATGAGCTGTACAAAAAATAGGCTCTGGGCCAAATTTGGCTCACGGGCTGTAGTCTGCCAAATCCTGGATTATAGACTACAAGAACTCAGAGATTTTTTAACTATATATTGGCAGAGACCTGGGAATATGTGTGGAAGTAGATTCTAGGGTGTTAGACTGAGGAGGTGGAAACAGAACCCAGATGGGGAGGAATTCACTGTTCCATCCCTCCCCAGGCTCCCCTCATGCAGCTGGAGCCACAGCCCACGCTTTCCTTGATGGACTGAAACTCAGACTTGACAGGGTCTGCAGTCAGCATGAGACACCAGTGTCTGTGGTGTGGTTGGATGACAGAATCCAGAGATTCACAGAGGAAGGGACATTGAACTGGTCCGTCAAGGGCGGCTTGCAAAGCCACAACCCAACCATGCTTTCACTAGGGCATAGGAACCAGATGACTGTGGGGACCTCACATCCTGGAAGGTTCTGTGACTGCTGTTCTTGGTTAGTGGAGTTGACAGCGGGGGATGAGGCTCCTTGATTTATTGGGGCAATGGGAGCTCTGAGCACCAGAGGCCAAGATGAGCTGAGGCCTGGAGCAGGCAGCTGGACATACTGGAGCTCACCATACCCTGGCCTTCAGGGATCCTGCTTATCAAAGCGTCCCTGGGATTAAATAAGTAAGCAGCCCACTAGAACACTGCTTGCCCTGAAACAGAACTCCAGGTCTGGTGGCCAAAATCTGACTTGAGTCACCGCAATGGACTTGGCTCTCGGCCTCTCATCCCATTCCCAAGTGGAATCAAGTCACAGACCTGGAGCGCTGCATCCGGAGGAAGAACCCGGAAGCATTGCTACAAGATGAGAATGGACACCTCCAGGCCAGCAGGTTCTGCATCTATTTACCAAAGTAACTGTGACAGAGGGGAAGGAAATACACAAACAGCTTAGGAATCAGGAGGCACTGTCTTTAAATAGATACTCATTCCTGGGGACAAAAATGATATAGTCAATGGAGGATTTATAAGGGTAAGATAATATTTCAGTTTTGGCCCAAGTTTGACTCAGTGGAGCCAAGGAGCCCACAGACCCTTCCTATGGTTTATGCCTCAGTCCTGGAATGTATAATTGAACTAGAAGATACAGCAGTCAGCATAATCATTGTATTGCATCTCATAGGGGAAGAGGAGCTGGGGGAAACCCAAGGACTCCCCCTCCCCGCTGAGACAGTAAACCCAGGGCCGCACTGCATCCCTCAGGAGCTGCTGAGATTAGTGTCACCAGCACAGACTGGAAAGCCATGGGTGTAGGGTGTCTATCACACACCCATCTAACGCACCCTGGAGTCTAGAGGCCAAGTGACCTCGACAACCCTGGGTATGACTGCAAATTTAATCAGCTGGAACAATCCCAGCGGGTGATATCTCACACAGCAGCGAGGTGACTGCTCCTCGTGACCCCAAAGGTCTCAGGAAAGTTTCTGGTCCTCCAAAGGAGTAGGGAGGCTTGTGCCAGGGAGTAGCCATGATTCCACCAAGAGGCTGGGACTGGCCCACTCCTCCAGGCCTGACCAAAGCCAAAAGAACCAGGGGGAAAAACGAAGGGACGGTGCTGAACGGCCGGCCGGAGGGCGGCTGCTGGACAGCATTCCAGCCAACATTTCGGGGTTCTGCCGCTGGGTGTGACATCACTAGACGCCGGATCTGTATGCAGAGCCCGCGGGGGTTCCTGAAGGCCGGGGAGCCTGAATCAGGGAGCCTGCAAAGTGCACTCATCTCGGAAGGCAGCTATGCTAACCACTATACCACCAACGCCTCTAAGTGCACTCATCTAGGGAAACAGAGTTTTGGTCTTTACCCATACCGGTAGGGTGCGCGCACGGCGCATCTGTAACACCATCCAGACTAACAAGGGGTTTACTCCAGCTGCTTTTCTGGCGGGTACAAGGAGGACCTGCGGGAAGTGAAGCCGGGTGAGGCGCGGGGGCGTGTGGGCGGTTCGCGTTCTACGGCGCGCGGCCCTTCGCGGCCGCCGTAGGGGTGGGGGGAGTACGGTGGCCGCGGGGTAGCGACCGTAGGGCGGCCGGTCGCGGGTCCGCCATGGGCAACCTGTTCGTCCGCAAGAAACAGAGCCGGGTCACGGAGCAAGACAAAGCCATCTTGGTGAGGGGGTCAGCAATAGGGTTGGAGGGCCCAGGGCTTCGGGGTGGGCGGGCCCAGAGCCTCGGTCACTTGCTTCGGGAAGTGGGGGACGGGCAGCGCTCCGGCATCCTGCGGTGGGCGTCTGCTGGGGGCCGAGCAGGGCGCTTGGGCCGAGTCGCTCGGGTCCGCAGCAGGCAGACAGGGCGGTGGCTTTGGTCGGGCCAGGCCATCCTGTGTCCAGGAGCCAGGGCTGGCCTGGCCCCTCGGCGCTCTCTGGGATCCTCGCCGTGCCCGCGGACATTGACCGGGTCTTTGCCGAGCTCGTCTGCGCCCGTAGGACTTATGTCCCCGCCCGGATGAACAGGATAGTGTTCCTGCCTTCAGTCTCAGGCTCTTCCCGGAATTCCTGGGCAGTTAGGGTCCGGAAAAAGAACCAAATGATGTAATAGTGAAACGTGCAGAATGATCCGTTTCCGGGATGGAAAAATGTGCCAGGAAGAAGGTCCCCCAGACAAGAGCAGAGTTGGTCTTTTCTGATGCTTCCCTTAGTTTTTCCCAACGACAACGAAGATTATTCTTGTCCTAACAGAGAAATAAATACAACAGGAAAATGCTTTCCTTCCTTAGTTTCTGAGCTCACATTATAAAAAGTTATTGCTGAATTTCCCCTGGTGAAGAAGAAATGGTGGGTATGTCTGTTAATAAAACGGCCACAACGTTGGGTACATAAGTGGAAGTTGGTGCAAAACCTTTGTGGTTTAGGGCTTGCCTGGGTGTCCAGCCTCCACTCCCTTCTGCCTGTGGGCAGAACAGTGCGCCTGGAGCCTCTCTCTAAGGACTCAACCTCTTTTTTTTTTTTCTCCAAATAAGGCCTTCTCTGTCAGGGATTCACTTTGGTGGGTTCTACAGGCAAGGCAGACCTATGTCTGCACCTCCGTGGAGTTTCAAGTGCTCAGGACGCCACTGTTTTATATGTTCCTGGGATAACTGGAGTAAGGAAGTGCAGCCCCTGCCTGCTGTCTGTGATCCTGTGCTCAGACCTGTTGCTCTACAAAGGCAACCTGTCCATCCTACCTCCCCACAGTGCCCCCCCTCACCCCCCAGCTCCTGTCCAGTCTCTCCCATGCCCAGACTTGTAGTTTCTTATGCAGTGGTGTGGGTAATAACCTGAAATGCTTCACCAGTGCAGCTGGGGAGGAAGTACATAGACTGTCTGCAGAATAGTGGGCACCTTGTAACAAGGGGAGGAATGGCAGCTGGCACTGCCCAACTCTGTAAACAGCACTCAGTGGAGGAGAGAGGACTGGAAACAGAGACTCTGTGTGGGGGGAGGGAGGTTTCTCACCAGCTGAGCTTTAAAACCTTGACTTAATTCACTTAGAGTAATCTACCATAAAGGGATGGTCCTGAGTAAGAGAAGTGCCTGGGTGTGAACCCATCATCTAAAAATCATCTGAAATGATAGCATTTGGAAAAAATGGAAATGGCCTAAGTTGGAAAGGATTAGTCAAAGCTGGTAAACACTGGTGCATCTTTTGTTGTTGTTTGTTTTTTGTTTTTTTTTTGAGACAGGCTCTCGCTTTATAATTCAGGCTAGTCTTAAGCTGGGCATGGTGGCACATGCCTGTAATCCCAGCACTTGGGAGGCTGAGGCAGGAGGATTGCTGTAAATTTGAGACCAGCCTGGGCTACAAAGTGAGCTCA